GCTCAGTGTGTCCCAACTGAACACAGCAACTGTGCATACGGTGGACGCCTTTCTATACTGCAGCAGCAGCAGCATCACTGGGGTATCTTTTCCACTGCGGCATCCCATAACACTGCCAGTCATCCTGGCATCGTGTGAGCAGAGCCAAGCATGCTGATTCTTCTCACTGATGAAGAAGATACATCAATGGCTTGGCTGACCTGATACTGGGCTTGTGAACATTACAAGAATGATGTGGGAGGAAGCCACAGAAAAGCAGCTGCAATGTCAGAAGGAACCCGGGGGTGAGAAGGCATTGATTTAGGAGTCCAGAAACAGGTTTCACATAGGAATGAGAAGATGTTAATGATTTCAGACATCTTGGTGTAGCCAGGAAGAAATAAGTCACAGATTTTAATAGGTTCTTACATGGTGTCTCCATCACAGAGAACAGAGAACAAATCAACCTGATCTACAGAAGTAGGTCCAAAGAGCTGGCCAAATACAGGCTGGGTAGAGGAACTGGATATGTGCAATCGTCATTATTTTAGGGTGGGCTACAAGCTACGTGAAAGTTTTCATTAGGGAATAAAGATGGTTGAAGCGCTTCTCTGGTACCTTTCTGGTACCTATTCTGTGTATCTCCTTGGCCTGTAATTCTTTTCTAAGACTGTTTCAAATAGTTGAAAGTGAGATTAGTTAATCTTAATTAGTTTCTAAAGTAACTACTATTAGAAAAAGAAAAGAAAAGGCAGCCATGCTGGTCCATGTGATACAACTGAGTTACATAAGAGATTCCTGACCTACAGCCAGCCAGTAAGACTAATTCCTTCCTTCTACACACCCATGTGCAGAGAAAATCTCTCTCACACACACACACAATGGTCAAAGGTGCTCTGCAGTTGGATGAGTTCCAACTTAGATGAAAAGCTGAAATAAATCCTACACATTCTGTACTGACAGTTTGTTTTTCTAACAAAAGTGGAATAGCTATGAAGAAATATACACACATTGGTCACAGTCTCATGCACAAGAATGTGGATTTAAATTCCATTGAAATCAGTGGAACTCAAGTGTGCATAATTTTGTAGAGGAGTGCAAATGCAAAGAAATAATCTACTTTTAAAAAGCTCAAACTTTTCCAATGACTTCAGTATGGGCATTCTAGGATTGATTTTTCTAGTCCACAGATCAGACTCCTGTGAGGAAAAGGAATATAGGGGGTATCTCAGGCCAGGGGTAAAGCCACACAAGCTAACCCAACCCCAGTAGCTAATACAACACTAGGTGTCCTTGCACAGAAAACAGATAGCATTTGAGCACACAAGGAACACACTGAAAAAGATGTAAATCCAACAGATCACAAGTTGGCCTTGGCCTGCTTCATAAATAGCCAGAGAAACGCAAATCATTCATGACTTTTGAGACAAGTATGGGGAATATTTCTTTGGAAAGACTTACTCAGGGGTTTCCAGCCAAGTCCACAGATGATTAGAAACAGATCGATACTTTATGAAAGACTTCCTCACAGGCTTCTTTGAAATAGATTGGCAGTATTTAAAGATGGCACACACAATAGGATGCTGGAATCCCTTTAATCGCACTGAGAAGGCAGTAGTACCTAAGCTAGAGAGGGGTTGTGTATGCCCTGCCTGTACAGGCTGAGGTCTCCTGGCTTTCTCTGTCATCACCACAGCAGTTGCTCTGCTTTCCTCATAATCACTTCCAATTCATCCCGCTTTATCATTGTGTCATTCCCTTTTTGCAGCTGCAATTTTCCTGAACCCTTCTAACTGGAGTATGAAGCTATGAATGCAGGTTTCTGATCTTTGAACCTTTGATCCAATTAGCCCTCAGGGCTTGGATCCAAACTGTGGAGAGGCCAGCATTTATACAATGATCTACGACATCCATTCAATGCCTATTAGTCACTGCTCTCCAAAGTATTCAGACACCCACTTACTTCAGAACCATGGCCTCTGACCTTTGGAATGTTACCCTGAACCTTGTCAAAGGATTCAGTAACAATAGTTCTTCAATCCCAGGAGCCCCACAAAGAATATAAGAAAAGCCCTGCTGGATCAGGCCAAATGTCCATCTAGTCCAGCACTCCATTCATATGGTGGCAAACCAGCTGCCCACAAGATTGCTCAAGCAGGACGCGTGCAAGATATGGGCTGCTCAGAGGGCCTATGGCTAGTGGGGTGGCATACAAATAGAATACATGAATAAATCTGCCCAAGCTCCTCAGGAACTGGTATATGTAGACACGTCACAGAGGTAGCTAGCAAGACTAGTAGCCACTGATACTTCCTCCTCCAAGAAGGTGGCAGATAGGAAACCAAAGGTGGGGATGGCAGTAAGGCAGTGGGGGGAGGGGGGTCCTAGTGTTTATCTGGCTAGTCACAGTGCTTTACATTTATTTATGTATTTACTACATTTATATCCTGCCTTTTTCCTACAAAGGGTTCATTGCAGCTTACACCATTCTCCTCCTCCATCTTATCCCCACAACCACCCTGTGAGGTAGGTTGGGCTGAGAGTCTGTGACTGGCCCAAAGTCACCCAGTTGGCTCCAGGGCTGAGTGGGGACTAGAACCCGGATCTCCTGAGTCTCAGTCCCACACTCTTAACCACTACACCACACATGAACACTCAGTGGTGCAGCTGGTTAATTTCAGACCCTGGACCTAAGGATCTTGAACCTTGTGGAATTCTATGACAAGGTTTCAAAGTGGCTAGATGGAAGGGACACTGTGGGTGTGGTTTACCTGGATTTCAGCGAGGCCTTTGACCAAGTACCGCGTGATATTCTGGTTGAGAAATTGAGGCATCTGGGGATAGACCAATGCACTGTCCGATGGATTAGGGCATGGTTGAGGGACTGAAAGCAAATGGTAACTATTAGGGGGAATCACTGGGATGGCAGCCGGTGATGAGCGGGGTACCCAGGGTTCATCGGCCCCATTGGTGAGGGTGTTTAAGGACAAGCTGGACATGCACGTGGTAGGCATGTCATGAGTGGAGCCAGCTGGAGCTGAGAATCAGACTAGCTGGCCCAGGAGGCCCCTTCTGACTCACGTTGTTTCTAACTTATGGTGAAGAGATAAGATCATATGTATTCCTACACCTGTGAAGCAGATGAACAACATTTCTCTGCCATTCCATTCTCAATCCATGATTTACAACTGCTTCTAAGCATCAGCCCATGTGCAGTTTTGCCTTTTGAGCTTGCTTAAAACTTAGCTACATGATATGGGGCGAAGTGGAGTTTCCTTCAGCTGCTTGCATTAGCTGCTCTCTCTGGGTGGTCGGTCAGAGGAAGCCAGGCAGCAGGGCCCTGGACTTCAGTCTGAGGACAGGAATGACCACACAGAGACTCTGCACAGCTTTGCTTCCACATGAGAATGGAAAACACATTCTCCACTTGAGCTTATGGCCTGACCCTCCCCAGACAGGATCAAGTGACTTTCATTTCACAAAGATGACAACCACACACCTGGAAAAGAAGCTCTTAGCCTTCTCTGTGACAGCCATTTTGGATGTATATTCACAAAAGCATGAGGGATGATGGGAGTTGAAGCTTTCAGAACTGCCTTTGTGTCTGCCTGTGGAGACCTGCAGGACAGGGGTGTGGAGAGAAGGGCTCTTTGCGAACCCTTTCTCCTGAGAGATTCCATCCCTGACATTCAGCCAGACTGTGAAGAATGTGAACTAAGTCTTGGCACTTAGCAATAGGATGAAGCACCTCAGGACTGACTGAGGAATGAAAGGCATGAAGCATAAAAGCTCTTTTCAAATATATAAAAGCCTCCTACAAAGAGAAAGAACAACCATTTGCTACAGAGGAAAATGCAGGAGTAAGTTTTAGGGGGGGAGCTGATTTAAGGTGCGTATTAGGGAAAGCTTCTTAATCTTTATTTTTAAACAACTACTGAGAAATGGATCCTGATGATGTTGAAGAAGTATACCCTAGATGATTCAAGAAAGAGGCTACATATGCTGCTAGGGATGACTTAAGGTTGGGAAATCCATAATTTCTGGGACTCTTCATATGCTTAACAGACATCTTCCCACTCAAATTTGCATCCCACTGTGCTGTGCAATGACCGTGCATGTGTCTACTTTGCTATATTGTGCTAGTGGCAGCAAGTTCCTGACTCAGGTATACAAAGCAACATAGAAATGTGTACGCTCACACATGACAGTGTATATGCATACATTCCACTTTCACCTGTGTACGAAAACCATCAACAGCTTTCAGTTAGCCACCTCTCTTAGCAGTAAGCAGGACAAGAATGCGGAGCTGATCTCAGTGAACAGGACTGCTGCTGGGCAGCCATCGACGAATAATGCTGTCGCATAAGCAGACTGCTGTCATTCTGCACATGGAAGCAACCTTTGCTGAGATGCTATGGAATGGCGAGAGGCTCTGTGCCCTGCAGTTGCTAGGCAACTCTGCTGGATCATGGCAGTTTGGATGTGCCTCGCTAACTAGGGAAGAAATGCAGAGGAGCAGCATTCTACTTTTATTGGGCAACATTGACAGGGATAATAGTTCTGGTATGCTTCCTGCTTTTAGGTAGTCAGAAAACAGGGTGAAGGGCACAGTCTTCTGCTCTCTGTGCTTGTGTGTTCATCTATCACGCTAATAGTTCACTCCTGCTCCACTAAGTCTTCACTGGTTTACCATCCTGCAGCCAACCTGCAAATGGCATTATGATCAGGGGTCCCTGTTACCTCTTTCATCAAGGGGAAGGAAAGGCAATGGCATTAAACCTTTGTCCAAGTTTTGGCTCTTTAGCTTGCAGTACACCTGCTCTCTGTCTGTGCTACCCGCTGAGGCATGGATTAAGAAGGCTGGTTTTGATAGCAGGTGGGTGGGTGGACCTGCCTGTGGGCACAGGATGGCTTTCATGTGTGCGTTCAATTCCCCCGTTGCCTGCAGATGAATCCCTCATTTCATCCACTCCATTGGCTTGTGAATCTGCTATGATTTGAATGGACCCAGTTGAGTGTACCTTGTGTTTGGGGGAAGGGATTTGGGCAACAGCCCCAGCCTACATGACTGAGCAGGTGAAGCCGCAGCACTCTTTCAGCAGGGTGAGGCCTGTCTTCGTGACATATGGTGTAGAGGTCTGTTGTCCCCTTGACGTCATCTTCTTCTCTTTTACAGGAGCTGCGAAGGAACAGCTGGTTATTGCCATGGGAAGAGTGGCTACTCTAGGCCCTGAGTGGAAGCCACTAATCTGCCTGGGATAACAGGGGTGTATCGGGTGTCTCTGCAACACACGTGGAAAGACTGGGTTCGGGGGTTCAGCCAAATACAACTAAGCACTAAGGGCTGTTTCACACAGAATGTGGCAGCAGCAAATGCCAATGCGCAATCCAATTCCCCAGCAGCATTTAACAGACAGAAGCTGCCAACCTGATGCTGTCTAAATAGATGCTTTCTCTTGACTTTACACTTTGGCTACACTGATATCATAAGAAGAGCCATGAGCCAATGGTCCATCGAGTCCAGCACCGTGTTCACACAGCAGGCAACCAGCTGGTCAGAGGAAATACACCAAAAGCACAGGAGAGCAACAGCACCCTCCCACTCATGCTCCCCAGCACCTGGGTATGCACTTTAAAAAGGAAGTGTGAAGTGGCCTTGGGGAGGCAGCAGGGTGTGCTCCCTAAATGCCCACAACCAGCACGAAGACTCTTGAGATACTTGAGGCCTTGAATGGGCCAACATCGAACAGGAGGCCACAAGCCTGGCTAGTTCAGAATGCTGTTCACAACAGGCCCTGGTGGGAAGCCCAGACACAGGGCATGAGGGCCAGAACGCCTCCCACCTGTGCTCCCCAGCAACTGGCTGCCAGGGGCTGATTTTCTGTGATATTCAAGGTGGTATGTAGCACTCATGGAGAGTTTTATTCTCCGTGAATTTGTCCAGTTCCCTTTTAAAGCTGATTAGGGTGGCAGCGATTCTTACATGCTGTGGTCATGAATACTATAAATATGTACTATTTCCCACATGGTCCTGCACCACCCTTTCTGCTTCACTAGGTAAAGAGATGGAATATCATGAGATCACAATGTAAACTTCTCTCAATCCTTTTTATGAATCTTTATTACTGGGTCTCCAGCAGGGTGCTATGTGCGCCCATGTGCCCATGCATGCTTCTGTTCCCATTTGTAGCCTGTTTCACTACTTTGATAACAATGTGCATGCTCAATTTATTCCTGTCATATATGGTGATAAATGTGCATGCATGGATATGCGCACAAGTGCTCACCATCTGTTGAACAGGCAGTGACCGCACACATTTTCCCACAAATTAACGAACAAAAGAGGACATTAAGGCAATGCTGGCTAGGCAGACCAGTGCGACCAGCTTGATTAGGGAAGATGCTTGGCTTGCTGTTTGTTTCAACTGCTGAAAGAGCACGAGTGGATGGGCTGGCAGGGACGAGGTCATTTGCAGGTGCAGGTGATGGCTGGTTGCCTGGGTTGCTTACTCATACATGTAATCCAGTCCATACACCATGATTTTGCAGGTGCACAAGAGAAGCAGAAAATGTGGAGAGATATGCAGACACCTGAGAATCTTAACTTCCATTTTTTAAAAGACGAAGGGATACTAGTCCACATAGCCTCAAAGGTGTGCTTGAAAGTGTGTGGACAATGCCTGAGGAACTCTCAGAAGTCAAAAAATAAGCTCTTCATGAGTTGTGAGTAGTACTTCAGTGTTGCTGCCCCTCTCTTCTCCAAAGCCAAAAAATGGCAAATACCTCTGAACATATCTGCAAGGCTGCATGAATTCTGCAACTTGGCTCAATTTACAATTAATACTGATCACAGAATGCAACTTTTCTTGGTGCGTTTTTTTCTGCTTAGTGTGACGAACATGCAGCCTTGTCAATAACACGCCCACACCCATGCCCCAGAGCAGTGGTAAGGAAGCTCCCTACACCTGAGTACCTACCTGTTTTCAGAAGGCAGGTTTTAGACAGCTTGGTCTTCAAAAACTCTGCCATTTCCTTGTCTTCTTCTCGTTCTCTGTGAAAGGAAAGGGATTGGTTACTGCCCTGTGGGTGGGAACTGAATCATGGCAAGACCAACCATTGCTTGTTAAGAGTCATTGCAATCCAGGTGGATGCCTCCACACCATTGCTTTTTGGCCTGTCTTTAAAATATTTCAGATCTCCAAATCCTCCAACACTGTCACTCAGAAGCATAGACTCAGATAAAGATGGCTGATGAAGAAGATTGGATTCCTTGAGAGTGGACCAGCCTCCCCATGAGCAGATTAGGAGAAGCAGCAATTACTTTCCACTGTCACTGGGAGGGCTGAGGGGTGCACTGCCAGCACTGGTACCTCTTCCCTGCTGTAGCAAATGCAGTGTAGGAGCAATGGGCAAGCAGGGCTCCTTGGAGGTGTGTGTGGAGGGAAGGGAAGCCACCAACACCACAATCTCTTGTGCTGAGCCCTCCCCCAGAGAGAGAGAGATCAGGCACGTAGTCTCCCTGGAGAGACATGGCAGCAGTATGAAGCAGCTGATGTGTCTCTCTGAGGAGGCTGGTATCCCACTCTCTTGTTCAGAGGGTTCTCCTGCCCAACCTCACAGCGTGTCCTTCTATATGTGAGCACATAAAGAGTCGCAGCTGGAAGATACCTTGGCCAATCGCCTTTGAGGGGTCGTTCCTTAAAGCGAAGCATTGTGAGGTGGCCCTGGAGACTGCCTGGACAGTCAGAATACACATTGAGGGGTGTTTCAAAATGCCTCCCAGCACAAAGAGCTGGTGAATGCCAGGTTGAGTACAGATCCCTTCTCTGCAGTTAAGCTTCTTAAGTGACTCTGGGCTGGCTACCTTAGCCTCATGGCTCATTGTGGGAATTAAATGGGAAAATTTTATGCTCCCCTGGCTTCTGGGAAGAAGGTTAAAAGAATGCAAACACCAGCAGTGCTGTGCCTCTGGCAACACTTGCTTGGAGACAGGAAACTGGCATGCTTGCTTCCATAGGTGTACCTGAGCCTTTCAAATTCCACATCATCCACAAGGAAATCCCGAGTCTCCACGAGTTTGTGAATCTGCTGCACTAGCTCTTCCTCCTGTTGCTTGTCTTCTTTTGATTTTTTATTCTCTGTAATATGGAGGGGGAAATCATGCAACAAAGCATTCATCAGGCGGGTGATATACTGGGGCCCACAACGTCTGAGGCAATGAGTGCCCTTTCTGGCACTTCCCCATGTGCCCCCCAGAAAGGGTTTGCTTGGCACCAACCTTATTGTCCTTTCAATGATCAGCAAAGTTCTCTTTATTGTCATCAGCTTTTTAGATACAATTTGAATCCCATGGCCTGATTTAACCTTTTTAATGGTTTATTGCATTTCACTCATTGCATTTTTTCTGTATTTACCTTTTAATTTGTTCATTATTTTTTCTTAAATTCCTAGGGATTGTGACAGTGTTCTTAATAAAGAAATACTTGATAATAATTGTCCAGCAGTGGTACATAGCACTTAACTATCCCCTTCATAAGGACACCCCTTCTCTAGATCTTTGCACATTGCTTTCATTGTCTTCCAGGTTCCGGTTAGAAGGATGGGAAACAGAGTCAAGGGAATGCAGGTTGCCCTTCACTGCAAATGACAAAAAACCAGTGCGGTACAGAGAAATCTGTCTGTTCTACTTTCTGTAACATTTGAATTGTTTGAAGCACAAGGTCATCCTTGCCCAACCCTGCATCAGTTTGCCACTTTCATTTTCAAAAGTTCATGCAGGTTTTTGTGCCTACAAATATTGGAAGACATATCAGCACACAATTTCCGCTAATACACACATTTTGTGCAAGCGAATTACTCTAATGTGTGCATTCTTTTGTGGTATTTTCTTTAATGTACCCATTCTGTGCACCTGTATATTATGTGAGGAACTGCAAAGTGGGCCATTTCATACTAAAATGTAAACCAAACATGTTTCTCCAGAATCCCTAAGGGCAGCAGAACAATATTGCAGGGCACCATCCCACGAACAGGAGGGGAACTGTTCCTTAGTGACATCATGCAGAAAAGGACTTGCCACACCAGGGGTCTGAGAAACTGTGGCAAGACTGTGGCTCAGGATACAGGGATGCCAGAAGATGACTCCTGTGCAGCAACTCACAAGCTGCCAGGAGGAGGTCTCTTCCTCCCCACTTCGCTCCCCTCCAGCAGGCTTAGATGAGATCTTAGAAGCATAGTTGTTTTATTAGAGCATAACAGGTTACCAAAAAAACTTTAATGAAGGCAGCAATCTCTTTGAGATACAGGCGAAGCATCTGCCCATGTGAAGAGTGGAATTCACACTGAAACATCCATCCCCTTTGCCTTTGCCGCCAGCCAGCACTGGAAAGTGACCCTTGAAAGAGCCAACATGGGATTCAGCTGTCAGGCTGAAACTGTTTCAGCACTGCTCTAGAGGATATGGCACTGATAGAGCTCTAGAGGGAAAATAAGACCCTAAACCACTCTGTTCCTGGAGAGTTGCTGTGTCTTACCAGGCAGTGCAATCAGTTTCTGCAGTTCCTTTTTCAACCTGCTGATTTCCTTACAAAGCTGGATATCATCCATCCTGCAAAGACAGAAAAAGAAATAAGCATTCCTTTCTCCAAAAGCCCATCAGTTGTTTTCAGTATGCTTCTAGAAACAACTCTATGGTGGGTTGAACAGGGTTAGGGTTAAGGTTGAGCAGTTTTGCTAAACTGTGAGCCCATAATATTACCTCGCAAATTACTTTGGAGTATTTGTTGCTGATTAATTTTCACTTTCTGACACATATTGCATGCCTTTTGCATTTCAGAACATCTTCTGAAATATTTCCACAATCACCTAATTGCTGGAGAACTGCAGTTGGAGCAAAGCACATTCCCATACATGGACTACAGCAAAGAATCAGTTAAGGACCCTGCGGAAGAACATCATCATTGGAGGGAAGTTTACCTGTGGTGGAGTAGGCACCAATCCAAAGCACCGATATTGTGGAGATCAGACTCCACCAGTCTAGTAAGATGCCATGGACCAATGATAGGGACTGGATGGTATTGGACAGAGAGATCTGCCTACACAGATAAATTATTACAGAATCAAGGGCAGTCTTTGGGAATTAGGCAAACCGGGTCACTGTCTCTCAGCCTAACTATATTACTAATCTGTGCTGTATGCTGAAAACTGCTATAGAAACAGACAATGTTCTCTCTCTGCGCCCCTTAGCAGGGATCAGCCAATGGGATTCAAACAGTTTTGTTCCTCCTCTAGATAAATAAAACCATGGATTCCTATAATTCATCTTGGTCCTCAGCAACTGTATCAGAAGGCCACCAAATCTGCTGGCACCTTTTGCTTCCCCCTTCAGAGTAGACTGGATTGCCTTGGTGATGCAGAATGATCCATTTAGGATTATCTGAAGCATGCTTGGGTGCCGTGTTTCTCCTAAGGTGAGCTGATAGCCTGAAGCACGCTTTTTCTTAAGGAAATATTAATTTAAGAATTATATGGTTGTTTGGTATCAGGAACTGAACAGCACATGGGCAGAAAAAGTAAAAAGCAAAGTTCAAGGATTCAGCTTAAGATACTGAATTCATCTTTATGAGAGCAAAGGTAGAGGAGACTGGTTCATATACCAGATAGGGAGCTGGTGGATTTCCATGCAAGCACAAGCTTCTTTCAGGCAAGTTATTTGAAATTTTGGGTGCCAGTTCAATAGATATAAATATAATTCCTGGTTGGGTTCAATTCAGAGCTGCTGCAGGCAAACAATATCTCTACTGATCTATGCTTGTTAGCTCATGGTCACACTAAACATTATCTGTGGCCAGCAAAATGTGACAAAAATGAAAGGTCTGTATGCTGAGAGCAAATAGGATGGCTGACAGTCCAAGTTTGCCATCTCAGGGGCTTCTAAATGATCCAGTTTTGCCCTTGTCACTATGCAAACTCTCCTGATCTGAGGCAGGACTATACCATATTTCAAGCAATTTCAGAAAGAATGCAGCAGCAAGACATGCTTAGCCAAACGGCATGTGGAAGGGTAGGAAAAGGGAAGGGCAACAACTACTTTTGTGGCCTGTAATGCTGCACTGCAAGCAGACGGTTTTAATTGGACAATTGTTTAATTGGACAGTCTTTGCATTTTATTGTATTTTACTTGACTTAATGCCTTCCCTGTTTTTGTCATGAATTCTTGGGAGCTATTGCTTTGAACAAGTACACATTGTCCACCAATGAATTTGGTGCAACCCTTTTTATTGTGTGGTTGTATGTGTAGTTGGCTTCCTGCTGTCTGCTACAGAACTACTGCGGCATTAAGAGAACTCTGTGTGTGGCATATATGGGTTAGAAACACCACAAAAGTGGCTCTAATTCTATCATATTTTAAAACTTTCCCGCTGAACTCTTTTTTCCAGGGTATTCACTTTTTCACTGGTCTTTTGATGTGCCAATTAATTCACCCAACCTCATTCCAGCCATCTTTAACAAGCTGTGATAAACACAGAAGGCCTAAATGAATTACCTATCTAGACACTGTTTAGTTCTGAAACCTTTTAAAGTCACCTTTCTCGTTCTTAAAGGGCCCCTCTCCCACTACTAGTACCTTAAGCCAGGCCTGAGAATTCAAGTTGCATCTGATCAGATTTCATGATCCTTTGCAATTAACCTAATCAAAGCCAGAAATATATCACTGGCACACAGTTGACTTAAGAGTGCAACAGTTCTGAAAGATATACTGGTTTGGGAAACCGAGTGCCTGAGACTCACTGAAAGTATTTCTGGGAATATCCCTACAAACCAATCTGTTATTCTGAAGTGGCAAACTTCTATAAACCTTCTATAGCCCATTCTCAGCTATAAAGTGCAAGGTAATTACATTCAGATTTAAGGGCTTTTCTACAAATGTTAAAGCCAAATAATTCCAAATCTTTGTAACATCTTTCCTAAAATGTTGAGCTTCTATTGCAGGGGTAGTACACGTTTCTGTCCTCAAAGTGCAATAGCTCTTAACTGCAGAGAGAGTGAGTAAATCTCTCCCCACTCTTCTCTACTGTGAAGTGCAACTGTGAATGCTGTTTGGAATATGCCTGTGCAAACATGTGCCAGCTGGAGAAGATTGGTGACATCACTGATGAAAACATGGCACTTCCTACCCACTGGTTCTATTACTGGGATAAAACTTTTCTCTTTTCTCTACCTTTCTTCCTTTTTTTTTTTTTTTTTTGCTTTTTAAAACAATATTTAAAGGCTGACCACTATCCTGCTTCTAATTGATAACTGAAAAAAATAAGAAGAGCACACTTATGAAAACTATTTTTTAAAAGTACAGAAATCCATCTCTGCTATGTCTCATGAACTCTTTTCTTGCATTGCATTGCATTTCCCCTTCCAAGCACTGGAATGCACATCTTTACATTAATTTATTAAAAGTGGTAATCAGCAGCATGGTAATTACTACCCCTGTTCCATTACATGCAACAACATACTTTGCCACTCACTAATAGCTCCCCTACTTTTACAAATGTATCAGCAACGAATGCGGGGTTTCTTTTGTCAGCCAAAAAGGGCCATGAGCTGACTAAGAGAGCTCTCCATGGTCTTGCCATCTCACTGAACCAGGAAGATGAGCCGTCCTGAGGCTATGCAAAGGACAGCATAGAAATGTTTTAGATAGATAAATAAATAAATAAAATGAACACCCAGGCATCATATCTAATGAAATTACCCTTTTCAGGCAGTGGGGCTTGGTAACTAATGTCAGTGGGATGTGTATCCATTCCAGGCAGCATGTGCCATGTACTCCTTTTAAGGTGCTGTCGATGCTGAATCTCCCGCACCCCCCCCCCGCACATGCACACACAAAGCAATAGGTTCAGCACTATGAACAACTTCTTTAAAGTTCAGACTATAACCCAAAGTGGACACATGGCCCCATGGACATTAGAGCCATTAACCATTTCTGCTTTCAGGCATTGCAATTCACCATTAAAAACCAAAGAGACCAGTTTTCATGCTTACATTTGCTTTTAAATAGTACATTGGCCAGAATAAAACTTTTAAAAGTGCCTTCAATGTGCATTGATTTCCCAGCTTTTGTAAAAGTGTGGTTACCACCATGGTTAATGTGCTTTAGTAAAGAGGAACAAATCTCCCTGGCAGGGTTTTTTTTTAAAGAAATCCTGAGAAGGCAGCAGCATGGGATGGAGTGAGGGAGCTCCTGGGGAGGGGGATAGTTTATATTCTGCTGGTGTAGGTGCCCCATTTACTTTTGTCCAGCTCAGCCACCCTCTATGGATTTCTTTTTTCTTTAATGCTTGGGAATATTTGTAGAAATTTAAAGGCTGGGAAGTACATGGAAGGGAAAAATGCACACTTGCAGCAAAAGCTCTGAAAACAGCTGTGAAACCAGAAAGACCCGGTATTTCCTGGATTTTCTGGAGATTCAGAGAAGTGGTGACTGGGAACAGGACACAGAGAAATGTCAGTTCAACACTTAAAAGTGAGAGGATTCTATTATTGTGAGGGAAAGACTTTTCCCCTTGTGATACACGTACTGCTCTCACTTTCTTCCCAATTTTCAGAGCTATTGGATGCCTCCTTCCTTACTGCTATTTCTCCCCTATTCCTTCACAGGTGTGCACAAATTAGCCATGACTAGGCAAGTGTACACACACACTAAACAGGTGAAAGTGTGCTCTTGTGCGCTTGTGGAAGAACAGAAAAATATTAAAGTTATGAAGACTGATATCCTTCAAAGGGCATGCACACACATAATTTAAAGACGGTGAATGCAAAGGGGGAGCAGTTGGAGGAGGAAGGCAGGTGAGGGGAGGAGACAAGACTGGTTTCTGCTACTAAGGCCTTTGGCTATATCTCAGAGCCAGCCCAAGGACTGAGAGGGAAGGAAGGGAAGAACAAGCCATGGCAAATTCCATCATCTGTCAGCCATACCATGGGTTGTTCAGTGAGGGATTAGCATGACATCCAAACCCGCCCACTTTCTTAGGAATGTGCCCAATAGAGATTCAGAATATAATTTTGACACTGGCTGTCCATGCTTCATTCCTGCCTCTGTACACAGCAGTACACAAAAGGCTTATGTTGCATCCCTGCACAACACCACTCTTATTGATGTTGGTGCCATAACTTCACGAAGCAAAGGGTCTCCCCTCTCCTGCTAGTAGCTGCCAAGACTACTCCATAAATATTTCTGCATAGGAGAGAGTGCTTTCAAGGAAGAATCTAAGGCAGCATTCTCATGAAAGCAGTGACCTGGAGTGCCTCACTTCAGTCCATAGCTGCGGAATGAATGCTCCTTCATAAAAAAGGACAGGAAACACAGCAGATCCCACTGTACAAACCCCAGGAAAATGTTTTTATGAGCACTGTCTCAGACATACTAGTTTCAATGTTCGAGAATTTGTGTTTAAGTTTCTGTGTATTTGTGTGATCAGATCTGTGCCTCTGTTTCTAGCTCTGTGCATGAATATGAGTGCGTGAGAAGAGAATGGCAGATTGGAAACTGTATCTGACACTTCGCATCTTGTGGAATCAGATTTTTGATCTGAAAGACACACTGCCATC